AAAGGAACCGACAAATCAACCCTGGAAAAGGATTCTTTGGTTCATTTGATGTAGCATGATCCGAGTGATCCCAGATCACTGATCCTGATCCCGATCAACCCAAAGGAACGCATCCTTTCTAGAAAGTCTCGTTTTTTAAAGGAAAATTTACATGCTGGTGAAAATTGTAAATTGTAATTTGTTTACCCACGGAGCACTTAGGACTTTTTTAAGAACTCGTTGAAATGTGTCCGTGGGTTCTAGATCGAATTGGAATTTGAAAGTGTTCGATGGGCTCCTGGGAGAGGTAAAAAGCGGGGTACCTGGAGGAAAAACCTCTCGGAGCAAGGGAGAGAAGTAACAACACACTCAACCCAAATATGGCGTCAAAAGAGTACCTGGAAGTAACCTGATCTTCAAGCTCTGTGAACCTTCTTCAAGTCCTGGTAGGGTGATCTTTAGATTAAAATCCTTTTACAACAAACAAACAAAGAAAAAAAACTGTTAAGATAAATTTAATGTAAGTTTGTGATTCTGAATCATGAAGGCTACTGATGATATCGCCGTACTCTATTTTAGAACGAGCAATTGAATCACATCGGTCAAGATTTTTTCCAAAAAACCCCTCACCTTTCCTGCGTGGGATGGTACAGAACCAAGGGCAACCACACCCTTAGCGATCAGGCTGTTTCCCCTCACTGATGTTCCCTGGTGAGTCAACTCCAGTCCGCTAACAATATAAACAAGTTATTTTGTTCCGTTGAAGACAAGATTGACTTTAACACCAAGGTTACAAATCCATGTTTCATTAAAAACTTATCAAAATACACTCACCTTGCACTTAACACGGGTGCTTTTTCCTCTGACAACTTTGAAGGGTTGTTAAACTCATCGAGCAAATTCAGTGGAATCTTAACGAAGAAAAAAAAAGTATGTTATATTTGCCATTCTAGGATAGCTAAACCTTGATACCATCCTCTAGTGACATATTGCCAGGGGTACTTGGATAATATTTGCTTATTATGTGTTGCTGGCCTCTTAGAACCCCTTCACAACTATTGGCCATTCTGTGGCCAATTATGGACTCCCTCTTAGTCACTTTTGGGCAAATGTAATTTTCACAATCCCAACTTCCCATTTTTAAGCCCCTTCTTATAAAGATTTTTTCCCTCAAAATTCCGAAAACCTGAGACCCAATTCTAGTAACTCGTCTGAAAAGCAAAACAATTATTCCCAATTATAGTCAACCCAGTCGTGGAAATGCGACCCCATCCAGGTTCACATACCCATTGGCCTATTACTAGGAAGAACTCCCCCCCCCCCACCCCCTAAGGGAGCTACATCCTCTCACGAACGGGGTGGAGAAGGGGGTGAAACAAAAACGTATATATACCTGGAAAGGAACTCCAACTCTAAGAGGTGTCTCCAACATTCCAACAGTGAATTTGTTTGGATGAGCCTCTAAATAAAAAGAGATGGCAACGGAGAAACAAAATAACAAAAGATGTACGAGTTATTTTAACAGGGTGAATCAAAAATACAATGTTCCCATTCAAAACGAATCTGGAACCAAATTGTTCGGAATGGTCACGAATCCAGAAAAATCACATCTAGCCTAAACCCAACCTTAATCTGTCCCTGGCTGGTCATTTTTTACAAACCTGTAACGGTAAACTTGATACGATGGACTGGAAGACTCTTAATTGATGGTGCAGTTGAACTGTCACTGAGTAACACTTGAAGCTGAAGAGTATGTAGGCCAAGGAGGGTAATATGAAATGACAGCAAGAACAGGTAAATTCAAACACTGTTTTCAACTGGCCCCAGTTGTTCAAACACTGGATAACCCTATCCACTGGATTAAAACACTAAATCTCATTGCAGCAGACTCAGTTACCCATTTTTCTGAACCAGTATGGCCAGCTCTTTCCTCCATGTTGACAGACATGATTAGTGATTACTTTATCTCCATCTTTGTCACTTCCTGCAAAAAATACATAAATAAATAACAATAACGATCCTTAAAAGATCAAAATACAGAGCTTTAGATTCTAAGATGAGGACGACTACGACAATGAGAATTTCCCAATACTAGGTAGTGCGCGCGCGTGAACCAACGTCAATTCGGCGGGAAAATTTGATGGCCATCGTTATTCTACTACGCGTTTTAGCGAGAATGTCGTAGTGACGAAAACAGGTTATCAAATGTTAGGAATTTTATCATTAGCGATCGGGAGAGGGCTTTAACTTCTCCAACGGAAGTAAGTGTGCTAACTTTTGTGATGAAAAAACGGAGTACGATGAAGCTTTCTGGGATGTATATTTTTAGAGAATAGGCGAGAAAACTTAAAATTAAATGTCGTACTCGTCCTCGACCTCGAATCTAAAGCTCTCTAATAATGGTAACAAAAACAGTAAGAGTAACATTAGAAACAATGGCTATAACAAACAAGTAAAAATAACAAGTGCAAAAACAAATTTTTTAACTCTTGAGAGAGGTATTTTGTGCAAACGGAGACCTAACTTTTTGTTGTCGTTTTATGAGTCAATGTCTGATTAAAAAAGAGGAAAGCTTATTGCTACGACTAGTCAACAATGCATACTACGAGCCCGCCACAAAAACATGTACTTTTCTTTACAATGTAAAGCATTTATCTCTTACCATGCCAAATGACCTTTAACTCTACCAACAGCCTTCTTCTGTCACCCGGCAGTTTGTTCACAGATTCACCCTTTCCGTTCAAAATGTCCACTTTCATGGCACCTGATTAAGAAATGGAAAATACACCGTTTAAGTTGCCACCAGGCTATGTACATTTCAGACTGAATATTGTCAATGTTTAACATTTAAAATATGCAATAAAATTCATATTAAAATGTGCTAGCCATGGAGGTACAATGTATGCATGATGGGCATAACGGTTAGTTCTCAGGATCGCAAGAAAGAAAATACACCAAAATTTCCTTGCATCGAAAAATGATATTAAGCAGCCTTCTGAAGCTACTTAAGATTAATGTGAGCTACTTAGAACTTTTTTATTAAACATTTTATCATGGCTATTGAAAATGTAAGGTTTGAAATATACTTGTGTTTTATCTCAATTCAAACACACAAAATTTTTTACTTCTCACGGAGGTTATTTGCCAAGCACCACACTTTAAGTTCGTGGTGTCGGACTTTCAGTAGCAGGTCTAGATCACGCAAAATTCGGATTTTATCGATTTCAAAGTTTTTTGTTTATTGTTGTCATGCTGATATCTATTTTACTTAAAACTGCATTTTGACAAACGTTAATTCATAGTCAATCGCTGGTGAAAATTTTGTAGCGATCGGACAAGGATAAAATTACTTTTAAAATGATTGCAAAACATCGATATGGTCTCCCAAAACTGAATAGAAACACCTTAAAATGAAATAATATGTCAAAAAGATAACAATAAAGTGCCATAAAGAAAGACACGCTGATTGCTCTGGTGTAAATCTATGTCAATTAAAAGAGAACCAATTTGTGTGGTAGATATTGGTATCAAATCATGATAAATTGTCTAGAAAATTAAATTAATTTTCAAATTGAAACTGCACAAAGCTGTAGCAACCAAGAAAATTGTCCAATACAACAGAGTCTATGGAGAAATACGCACCAATGGTGGTTCCTGCTGGGATTTTAGGGTTTAGGATCCAGCTTGTCATCCTCAGGCCATTCTATAACCAGTTTACCTGGCAACCTGAAAGAATAGTTTTATACTTCACGTTACGGTTCACACAGCAATTATAAATCTCGTTTAGCCGGTCAAACCGGATGTTTTCCTTAGCGCGTTCAGTCAATAATAAAAGCTTTTCTATTTCGGAAAGGTAATAGCCAATCAGAAAATACCTACCATGTTCGCAAAAGTAGGTGACGTCACCGGACGGCATTATAACGCTCGGAATTCAAACTTCTCTTTCCCCCGCGTCCCCCACGGGTTAGGGGTGGAGACGTATAACATTTCAGACTACTAGTCAATTTACAGCACCAAAACTATGAAAACCATTCGCTTAAAGTCTGTTGATAATTGCTTTATTTGAGTAATTGCTAGAAAGATGAGTATGGTAAAATTATTGCTTTAAAGGTAACTGTTATAAGAGTTGAACCATTCGTAAGAGCTAGTTATTAGCTTACTTTGCTTCTTCTTCCTCCACGAACTTTTTAATTGAAGAAAGGCTAAGTGTGCGATCCAGCTTGGCCAGGGAGAAGAATTTTGTGTCTCCATACAAAGAGACTGGCTCCTAGCATGGAAATTTCAACAAAGAACAAGGAACAAGCTTAAACGTAAATGCCACTTTTATTTGAATCTTAATTATTAACGGTCAAGGACAACTTTGTCCGCTAGCTTGTGCAGGGTGAAGAGATCTTTGAAACCACACCAGATAAGCACGATTCAGTGAAGGAGGCCGTGGAAAAGGCAAAAAAACAGTAAAGTTGACGCGCAAAAATCCCATGAAATTCTTCTTCCACTACCCACCCACCTTTTCTTTCATCCTAGAAGCTTCCCCCAGAAACTTTTGCCGCCAAACTGAACTCTGCTACAGTTGTAAATGCCCTGCAAAAGAGAAAACGAGGCAAGAAAAGCGAAAGAAAAGGAGAGGAGAGAAAGCGAAAAGAAATAGTCAAGGCTGCTGTGTCACTGTTAAACCCATCGAAACTTTGCTTTCTGCCCAAACTTATAAGAAGTGCAGGTAATGTTAAGGGCTTTGTGGTATGTTTTATCTCTTTACAGCCAGACAGTGGCCAGAAAACGGCTCGACTAGCTTCAAAACGCGTTTTTCAGCAAAATTCCAAAGGTGAATAGCTAAATAAGTGCACCACAATTTTGGACTGACTACAGTAGTTATTTCCAAAATGAAAAAAAAAAAACTGAGGAGGGTTGGTTTCTCAACAACAACGACAACATTTCATTTTCCAGTATACCTGTACCTAGTATTAATACTAACTAATATTATCATTAGATGAGTATTTGGAACATCCTACGGTCCTTAGACTTGCTGCAAGTCGGCCTCACGAGTTTCTTAGCAAGCAGAGCGAGCTATTTATAGGCCGCGAGCGACAATTGACTGTAGGCTCCAAGCCATTGGGAAGATAGAGAATAGTGAGTACAATGTGTGATAAATTGATCTATATTTTAGGAAATAATATGAAAGAGCTGTCAAGATAATTATTAACAAGAAGGAGTTGCACAAGAACTGCTCAAATTAGACTCTATAAAACCACTAATAAAAAATCTTTAGGCCCCAAGAGAGACCAAAGTCAATTTTCTCCTAACGAAATCAATACAGAATTAACAGAAAATTTTGTGAGAATAAATAAAATGATCACCTGATGGAAAAAGCTTTGATCTACAAACAAATTTTCTTAACCGATTCTTTAGGGAAATGTATGGAGATTAGTATGGAGAATTTGTATTCGACTATTGGGGTTTAAAGTGTTTAACAGTCGTAACAGCATTGTCTATTATACATGGGCATGAAGTGAAGTGGTCTGCAGTAAGTCGTGAAAAAGATTACCTGAACTATTTCCATCTCTCCTCCACTGGCAAAAACATCTCCGTCATGGTCACCAAAAAGAACAAACCATTTTACTGTTCCACAAATTAATGGTAAGGTCCTTTACGTCCTTATCTATAATGGAATCAAGTCGTATGGGTTATTCAACTATAATTAAAGTCATTGAATAGAGGACAATTCTTCATACAGTGGCAAGACCGTGACCACTGAAACAGCGAGCTTACAGATTACCTTACATCAAAGCCACTTACCAGAGGACATGTCTGGCCGTGTAACACGTAATTCACAACAATTAAATATCCCTTTAACTTTGTTTCTGTGTACAACAGAAACAAAGTTACGAGTGTTCCAATTCATGTTCCTCCACAGACGAATAGCAACAAACGACTTCCTCTTTAAAATCGGCCTAAAACAAGCAGACTCCTGTTCTTTCTGCGGGGAATTTACTGAAACCCTTGCCCACTTGTTCTGGTATTGCAGTTACACTCAAAAATTCTGGAAAGACATTTATCAATGGATAGCTCAAAACACCACCTTAAACAAATCCATTGCCTTCTCTCCTCTTATCTGTCTTGGACTAATTGATAATATCTCTAATTTATTTCTACATCACCTTTTCCTTATCGCCAAACGATATATTTACACATGTAAGTTAAATAACTGTAACCCTGCGCTACAAGTTTATATACAAACCGTTATGAACTCCATGGAAATTGAAAAAGAGATTGCCTCTAATAATAACAATATGTCCTCCTTCAAAAACAAATGGAGCCCCCTTAAACTTTGCCCCTCGGGCAAATAAACTTGCTGTTATTAAATAATTCCAAAAGTTCCAAAAGTTAAAAGTGATGCAGAAACAAATGCAAATGCAAATCACCTTTTAGTTGGTAGGACAGACTCCTTATGTTTTTGTTGTATCGTGTTTTATTTTGCAATTTTGCAAATAATAGTCAATTTTGTAAAAAATTTTTAGGCTTAATTAGTTGCAAATGCTGTGACATTGTATTTTTCCCTTATCTCTTGTACGTTGTTTTTATTCTTCCTTCATGTAAATGTAAGTATTGTCATAAGAAGTGTTGTAACCAAATAAATGTTATTAAAAAAAAAAAAAAAAAACACATCTGCTGGTCAGCGGATTCATTCCGGTACAGACGGTAGCGCACAGGGTTGTCAATTTGTGAAACAGCCTAGATAAAGACCTCAAATTAAGTAAGAATCACAGGGATTTTAAAAAGATTTTTGCGCATGCCCTTCGAGCTAGTAGGTCGCGCTATTTTTGAGCTCTAGTTCGGTGTAAATCTCTGTTAAATTTCTATTACTAAAACCTAAAGCAAAGCGGAAGAAACCGATGTCTCTCTTGCTTTTAAATTCATTACACATATTTCTTCTTTTCTTTTTCTTTGCTTTTTACTTATTATAATATAATATCTGATTTGTAATAGATTAATTTGGCACGCCTCGACTAGCGTTTTCTTGCTAACTGCGTGCCAAACAATTGTAGTTGTAATGTTACGATAATAAATGTCTTGTCTTGTCTTGTCTTGTCTCGAAACTAAGGCAAATATTGTTACAGAAATTTCTTGATTTCACGAGCATTTTGTTGGTTTTAACATTTTATTGTAACATAGGAATTTTAAACGGAAACTTAGGTAATTTTTCCCTCTTTTTTAGGTAGACATATATTTCTTAAAAGTCTTAAAACCTTTATAATGTATTATACCTTTGTCTTGTATCACTGAACAGCCCCACAGGGAAGTGTCCAATAAACGTCTTACATGTACTATGGGTGAAATTACAGACTGTTCTACATGTACCCTTCGTTATTATTGTAACTGCCACATTGAAAGACAATGGTACAATATTATTTCATTTACATGTAGCTTAAGAAAGCCACATATTGTAAGAAAGCAAAGTAAAAAAAGTAACATTATGAAATGAATATTGTTTTAGATGACAGTATTTTCCAGCTGTCCTGCTTTGAAGACCTTTCCATCCCACTCAATAGAGTTAAAAACACACTATGGACTTTGAATTCGCTTCTGTGGCAGGTCCGGCCACTTGATTTGTCCTTGATATCCTAAAAACTTGACCTTCAGTACATTTAAGAACAAAGCATTTGACTCCGTCAACAAACTGAGAAAGTAAGAAAAGGAAAAATACCATCAGAAATATTCCACTCGTTGTCCACTTGTTATTACACCAGTGATATACCTAATATTATGTCCAAGACTGAAACTTTGGCAGCCATGTTTAATCTACTTAGTAGATGAAGAGTGCTCTATCTTTTGCACTGTACATGTCCATTAATCAAAATTTCTAAAGACATTAATTAAACAAAAAAAAAAAGAAAAAAGAGGAGAGAATATAATAATAGTCTTTTAGAGCATAGGAGAAAAAAACTGTCACCCTACACTGTTAGGTACAGGGCGTGACAATAGGGCATCAACCTGTCAGGCTGGCATGTTTTAGTTACAAGGTGTCTGAAAGACAAGCTCATTTAGTGGAGAAAAACTACGTCCTACAAAGAGAAGTTTTGTAGGCCTGAAAAACTGCTCTGGGCTAGTAAACTTTGACAACAGCTTGCCCGAGGGATGAGAGATTGTTTTTAAAATTTTCATCTCAGCCATCATTACCTGTTTGTCATGGTTCTCATGGCTCTCTCTCACCCAGTCATAAAATGCTCTTGAAATGTGATTATTTGCTCCTGGAGGGATAAAAAATAAAATGAGATATTACAGTGCAATTACTTGAACCAGGGAACTTGGGTGAAAGTAATCCATTCACTATGTTTATGAAAAAAAAACTGCAGCTATTCTGAAGTTTTTGGTAAACTGACCACTGACATGAAAGTATTTGAACAGTAATACAGAGGAAGGCTTCTTTCAAACCTTGTTGATAAAGACATACTCTACTTCACTGAAATTTCATTGACACCCCTTATTATTTGGGCATAGCCCAAATAGAGTTTTCAGGATCACTTGTTTTGATTTAAAGTTGCAAAAGGCACGCAGTACATGTGAACGTAAACAAGCCAAGTGACGCAAATGTGTGCCATGCGAAAGACTCATACAAGGTAAAAAGCATGCAAATATTCAACATCCAAACACACCTCAACCTCAATTATTGGTGTATGGTAGCACTAGAAAGATTGACGTGCTGTTAACTGAAGGATTTTTTACCTTCAAAAAGGAAAGGTCTATTACAGCACACAGTTGATAATAAGCGTCCGCATAAGAGAGGTTGGCTTTGTATAAATATTCGTTAATAGGGTAAGAAATAAGTGTCTGTCTGCATTAACATGTGTCTATATTCAGTGATTTAAAATTAGAGAAATTGTAAGGGCTTTCCCAAGGGACATAGAAAACTGTCCGTTATAACGAGGTGTCTGCACTATTTGATGGGTGCCCATAAAGCGGGGTTCAACTGTACAAAATTAATGGGTTCATGATAACCGTCACGAATATAGAGATATTTAGTGACCACTAAGTGTACTATAAGAACGTTGATGTAATTGTTGTAGTTACTGTAGTTGGGATAGTAAGTGTAGTTGGTGTAGTTAGCGTAGTTGCTGTAGTTGGTGTAGTAGCTGTAGTTAGTGTAGTTAGTGTAGTTGGTGTAGTAGCTGTAGTTGGTGTAGTTGCTGTAGTTGGTGTATTTGGTGTACTTAGTGTAGTTGCTGTAGTTGGTGTACTAGCTGTAGTTAATGTAGTAGCTGTAGTTGGTGTAGTTGGTGTAGTTAGTGTAGTTGCTGTAGTTGGTGTAGATGCTGTAGTTGGTGTAGTTGCTGTAGTTGGTGTAGTTGCTGTAGTTGGTGTAGTTG